ACTATCACCGTATCGGACGTTAACCTGATTAACAGATTAAATATGCTTTGAAATAAAGAGCAGCCTGCAGATATTGCAAATTAAATACATGTATATTGCTAATTCAATCCACATTTTGACCGTATCAATTACGAATAAGGCATGAACGAAACTTTACAAAATCTAAATACCAGCATATTGTAGAAACCTTGCAACTGCTAAACATTGATATCTAACTTGATATTGAAAATGGAATGCACATATAATGCTGATTCATTCAACCTTTTGAACGTTGCAAATAAAGATAAGGTATGTAAAGATAATTCAAGCCTTTTTGTGTAATCTAAACGTATGATTTTTTAGTAAAAGGAGACAATTACTCAGAAATTGTACAATATCTCAAGAAAAGGAACAAGGCACATTCTCATTAAACATTACGTAAAGTATGAAGACACTTACAATCTGATTCGTTCCACAAAATCCACATGAAAAATAAAAGGATAGCATTAATTATTAAAAGAAAGTACCATAATTTCTGGCCGATTACCCGAGAGTAATTCTCTTAATTTTGCCACAAATAGTTGTTGGCGCGCGTTATAAGAAGGTGCGGGTGATACGATAATTTATAAAGCTTCCGTATAGTTTTAACACTGTAAGGAGAAAAAAACAGGGATGATGAGATCCACTAGGTACCCAACCTAAAAACCTGTGCGATAACTCATTTATTTCGCGCAGATTGCTCATTGTAATAAGAGACTTAAATGCTCTCAACGAAAGCCGATGCAAATCGAAAACATATCTCCAAAACTCGACAACAAAGCTTTTAGCAGGTAATTTAGTGTTAACAACTGAGTTGAAAACGTAAATTAGCCACCTGAAAGGGTAAAAAAGCTGACGTTTCGAGCGTCAGCCCTTCGTCGTATCTTGTTTGTACTCTCAATTTCTTTTCCTGTCAATTTCACGGCTTGTTTCTTTGTTTAGTTCAAAAAATAATTCTCACTTACGCTTGTAAAGAACTTGAAAGAAAAAGAATATAATTGTGAAAAAGCAGGCTTCAGAGCAATTTGCGGGGAAAAAATGCCGACATGTTCATTTCATGGCACTGCATAATTAACAGAGTAGAATATTCGACGCATCTGTGAAAGTTTCTCAGCGAGCACTGCCTTAAGTTTAAGAGCATTTTCCCGTGTCAAGCGATTTCTTCGACTCATTAGAACTCGAGATATCGTTTTTTTTTTAGAACAGATTTTTACAAGTGGCATCACTCTCAATGGAGCATCGAAAGCAAGAAGTCTGAAAATTTATTAGTTGCAAGCTAAAGGTATCATGTCAACAAAAGCAATGGAGGAACTTTGTGAGTCGACGATTTTCCTTTGTCTTTGGGAGTGGGTTATCTGCCAGTTCGGGTAATCTTTAAAATTTTTTCCTCTTTATTTCAAAAATTGATCGATGCGGGTAATCTGCCGCGCGGGTAATCGCCCGGAAATTACGGTAGTCGTCTCCGAGGTTAATTTTAATCATTTTCACATTGAAGAGTTAGCAAAATCCTCGAGAGAATTCTCGACAAAAGTAAGGAGATTCCATTAAAAAAAAAGAAAAAAACTTTCAAAGTAAAATTAATTAATTTTTCTCCAAGATGCTGATAAAATATCAAGTCAACAATTTATGTAAATAATCAAAAGAGCCAGGCTGATTGTTTTAACCGATCGCATACTGGTCAAACAGCATCAATTTAAAAGGAAATTAGGTTCTTTTTGTATAATCAAAGCAGTCACTTCCACGCAGCAAAAATACGAAGACTCAAATGATAATAATAAATATAATGAGATACACTGCGAAGAAAAGTCACTTTTCTTCGATCAATAATAACAGTGTTTTGAAATCACCGGTGATCCGTGCCATGTGATTGGCTATCATGGGCGTGATAACTTTATAGGATAGATTAATTAGAAGGATACTACTAGAAATTATCAATACTGCATATTGCGGTAGTTATTGCACCATATCCTCATGAAAAGGAACAAGCCACATTCTCATTAACCATTATGTAAAGTATAAGGACACTCACCGTCTGATTCGTTCCACACAATGCACATGAAAGGAAAATGATAGTATTAAATATTAAAAAGAAAGTTATCATCTGAAAAGTTAATTTTTTTTATATTTATATTGAAGAGTTAGCGGAATCCTTGATAAAATTCTCCATAAAAGTAAGGAGATTCAATTGATTAAAAAAATCCTTTCAAATTGAAATGAATTCATTCCTCTCTGGGGTGTTAATAAAATATCATGTCAACAATTTATGTAAATCATCAAAATAGCTAGGCTGATATTTTGAACCGATCCCATTCTGGTCAGATAACATCAGTATAAAAGCAGATTAGTTTCTTTTTGTATAATTAAAACAGTCACTTTCACGCAGTTAAAATAAGAAGAAGACTCATATTACAATAATAAAAATAATGAGATATAAAATGAAGAAAAGTCACTTTTCTTCTATCAATAATAACAGTGTTTTGAAATCACTGGTGATCCGTGCTATGTGATTGGCTGTCATGGGCGTGATAACTTTATAGGATCAATTATGAGGATGTTACTAGAAATTATCAATACTGCATATTACGGTAGTTACTGTACCATATCCTCATTAAAAGGAACGAGCGACATTCTCATAAACCATTATGTAAAATATGAAGACACTTACCATCTGATTCGTTCCACAAAATCCACATAAAAGGAAAAGGATGATTTAAGTTGTTAAAAGAAAGTAATCATCTGAAAAGTTAATTTTTTCATATTTATATTGAAGAGTTAGCGGAATCCTTGATAGAATTCTCGATAAAAGTAAGGAGATTCAATTGATTAAAAAAATCCTTTCAAATTGAAATGAATTCATTTCTCTCCATGATGCTAGAAAAAATATCATGAAATTCAGCAAAATATGAAGAAGACTGAAAGGATTATTAGAAATATGAGATATAGTGTGAAGAAAAATCACTTTTCCTATATCAATAGTAATAGTGTTTTGAAATCACTGGTGATCCGTGCTATCTGATTGGCTGTAATGGGCGTGATGACTTCATAGGATAGATAAATTATGAGAATGTCACTAGAAATTTATTAATAATACATATTATGGTAGTTGCACCATATCCTCATGAAAAGGAACAAACCACATTCTTACCAACCATAATGTAAAGTATGATGACACTCACCATCTGATTCGTTCCACACAATCCACATGAAAGGAAAAGGATGATTTAAGTTGTTAAAAGAAAGTAATCATCTCAAAAAGAATTCTCGATAAAAGTAAGGAGATTCAATTGAAAAAACAATCATTTCATAGTAAAATGAATTCATTCCTCTCTAGGATATAAATAAAATATACTTTCAACAATTTATGTAAATCATCAAATAGCCAGGCTGATTGCTTGGGCCAGACTCTTTAAGTCTGACTTGTGAATAATAAGAAACCATGCAACGGAAATTAATAACTACCTCTTATCAATTGTTTATTTTTCCTAATAGTTCCATAATACTTCTGTCTGGAGAGTCAGGCACCATGCAAGTGAAGACTGTCATCTCCGAGGATATTACAGAGATCGAACTTGCTCGACTAACCAGCGGTACATATGTATAATATCGATATGTGGTTCGAAATTTTAAAGGTAATGTCAAAAAAGGGAGATTTCAAGAAGAAAACCCTCCAACTAGATGGAGGAATTTTCTCACTCCAGAAGACAGAATAATGATCCTGGCTAGCGCTTAAGCCCAGAACAATTAGTCCTGAGTCCATTCGGCCGCAGCATACATAACTGAATGATTAGAATACGATTTTAGACCTAAAAAATGTACCTTTAACATAAATATAGATACTTTCAGCAGAAATTCCTCCAGGATTTTTCGCTTCACAGGTATACAGACCTGCATCTTCCTTTGTTATCTTATGAAAAGAGAGAAACCTGTTGTGTCCTTCAGATAAGTTATTCTTAAGCCAGGTTATCTGTGGCTGAGGCTGACCTTGAATGATTTTACAAGTCAAAGTCACAGTGTCTCCTTCTCTGATTAGATTGCTTGCTCCTGAAATTTTCACCTCTGGTCGAACTATGAATAAATAAGTAAAAAAGTTAAAACATAGTGACTTAGTTATACACACATAATACAAATATCCTAAAGGGCAATTTCATTTTGGGTTACTAACATCAGTGTATAAATTAGACAATGCATTTTCATCTGACTAATTTGAATAACCAGATGAAAGTCCTTTTCGAACGGCTAAAAACAACAAATCATTGGAACATATAAGGTGACCTTGCAGAAATGCCTATTGGCAAAAAATTAAAAGCCCTTCAAAAAAAAGTAACAAAGATTGTTTTAACCTCAAATGAAATCAGAAACCCATCTTACCAGCATTATCTACATGCAACTGAACTACTTAATGACTAAATTCTTTAGATCAGCTATTGATAGTTACCTATAATGTTTAGCTTCATCTTTAATATATTTTAGATTGCATTTCGTACTATTCATATTTTAGAGTAGATATTGTAGTCGTTTAATTTTTGTATTTTGTATTAGTCTGTGTTCCTTATTAGCATGGATTCCTCAGGCTTCATGGTTTGACACTAAAATAAAGTTTTTATCACTATTTTTACTATTATTACGTGTTGGTATAATGACTGAACCAGTTTCAGATTTTTCCAATAACTCACTCACCTATAACAGACACATTTATGCTTTTTTGTCTGCTTGTGACCCTTTTTGATCCTTTATTTTGTGTTATGGTACATCCGTATGTGCCACCGTCTTCAGGGTGAACAGGATCAATCTGTAGACTGCCACTGGGAATTTGAGTGA